ATGTATTCATGTACATGGAACACACACATATATATACATACATACATACATACATACATATATATATACATATATATATTTATATATATATATATATACATATATATAAATATACATATATACATATATACAGACATATATACATACATATAAATATAAATATACATATACATATACATACACACACACACACACACACACATATATATATATATATATATGTATTCATGTACATGGAACATAAATACGTGTAAGAACTGCTCACTTTTACTTATACACACAGACACACACACACACAGACACACACACACATATATATATATACATACATACATATATACAGACACAGACACAGACACAGACAGACAGACATATATATATATATATATATACTTCATATTGCATCAAATTCAGAGCACGTACTATATTCTCGTAGAACTCGTCGGGCATGTTAGAGAGAAAATCGTAGGGCTCGGTGTCGTCAATATATTCTTCGGGTTCTGATTGGTCGACGGTAGGGAATTCAAAGACAGTCCGATCATAAATGAGAGATTGAGATATCGATACGCAGCTTGCGTGGCTCCTGATGTATACATAGAACTCTGATCTCCCTCGTGATCTAAACAGGTAAAACACTTTCTAGCAGAGCGAGTGGTTCGGGTTGTGCTGCAAGTCCCTGACTCAACAAGGTAGTTTCCAGCGAGCTATCGGTGACTCTATTTTTAATGCGAGACATGTGTGTTCGTATACGGATTACTGACGTACATACAAAAAGGTAAACACTATTGTACGTTCACATACATGCGCCGCAACATACAAATGAAAACGCCTTCGTGTCGGTTGTTTATTCGGCAATGTTTTCCGAGTTACTATTAAGACGTTTTAACACACAAACTGCCATGCACGCACACATCAATAACAACAGCACATCTCCCTATAAAATAAACGTGCGTGTGCGTGTGTGTTGTGCAGGCACAGCCTAATGTACAGGTTTGTGCTAGCTAGTAACATATAAGACAACATCCATTCAACGTAAACTGTCTGACTACTCACCCGTACCTTTTTCTTCAAACTCCATCGGCGACGGACCGTCCGTGCCATTGTTTGCGCCGTCTCTGTCTCCCGCTCCCCTCAGCTGTTTAAGGGGAACCAATGGGTGCTCAGCTTTTCTAAAATCCTTCTCGAGCTCAGCCAATTGAATTGGTTTAATATCCTTCAGCCATTGGTGCATGGGCGCTGGTCCTGCAATCTGGTAGACGGTCACGGCCAGTTTGTGGGCCCATTCGCGCACCGCGGCATTCGCACTGCCGAACATGGTAGGTAAACCCGCCCCAATCTCCTTTATGTCGAACGGTTTCCCACCAAACGTTTTGACAATGGTGTACAGAAATTCCACACTGCCGATTACCACCTTAGGGGTCTTGGACTTGGTGCCTACTGTTAGCAGAGTGTGTGCAACGGGCTTGCCCGAGCCAACCTCCGTGAGCAGCAAACATAGCTCTTGTGCCTTGACACGTGTCTTCGGGCGCGTCGTAAAACCTTTTGCGACAAGGCCTTCGATTAGTGATGTCGTAAACCCTTCACTATCACTCCCGAAGGCGTCTACGTAAGCGAGCACCGCATCGTATGCGTCTTCCTGCGGAATGGCTGTGGTCTCGACGATCCATTTTGGAACTGAAATACCATGGAGAAGCGTTGGAAACAATTGAGACATGGGACATTTATTGCCAGAAGTAAGCGTTGTGGCCAAAACAAGAGCTATCAGATATGTATCATTCCACACAAGAGAAAATTCAAGATATGAACTTATGGGATAGGATATATATATATATATATAATACATGCATACCTGCATACATACACACATGCACACACACATAGATACAAGAAATCCTTAGGATAGGCGGAAGATATGATTGTACAACTAGCAGACTTCATTAGCACGCTAGATACAATCAATACCTACATAGTAATGTGAATACGTTCAACAGTTTATGAACAAGGAAAGGAACGAAACGTGCACATTTGCTATTATTATTATTTTCTACAAAATTACAACAAACCTTGTTGCTGGTACTTCCGGCCCAACGGATCAGTCGAATCGCATTTAGTAAACTCTGCGGCGACCTCTTTATAGGCGGCCTGACGCACCTTCCAAGCCTACGGTACATAATGAACAATAGTTGAACATGGATATCCTCTGATCATGCAAATTATGAAAGCGGAACACACACACATATACACAATCACAGATACACACACACACACACACATACTCACAAACACAGACACAGACACACAGACACAGACACACAGACACACAGACACAGACACAGACAAATAAACAGACACAGACACAG